TTTGGGGTGCTGAAAACGAAAATGACCCCTAAAAAATGTTGATTGGCTCTAGTTTCCATGATATATTCACCCATCTAATGACGTAAGCCATTCAAAATTATGATGCAACTTCAGCTGCATATTGCGCAATTGATACTGGTGACCAATAGAAAATTGCATGTATACTGAGATGATGCAATATTAGCCTTTAATTGCATCACTTCACTGCATAAAAGCTGCAGTATCTGTAGCTGATTGTAGTTCGACAGCGTCTTTACATTTCATTTTATGCTTATATAGGCTACTCAGTAATGCCTCGAACTTGTGTGAATAAAGCAGATAATTTTTGCTATATCTGCGGTGAAATAACTTTTATCTCACAAAAAAGGAGGATAACAGGAATGATTAAGAAAGCCTACAACTTGTATTTTGGCTGCAAGATAGGAGACCAGGACAAGAGCTGGGCACCACATATATGCTGCAATTCTTGTGGGACGGCACTGGAGCAATGGTTGAATGGAAAAAAAGGCATCTATGCCTTTCGCTGTGCCAATGATTTGGAGAGAGCCAACAGATCATGTTAGTAATTGTTACTTTTGTATGGTGCCTCCAATTGTAAAAGGGCTAAATAAGAAGAAAAAGTTATCTGTGCACTATCCAAATATTCCATCGGCAATACGTCCAGTTCCTCATGGAGAGGGGCTACCAATTCCTAAAGCACCAGAATCCTTCGTGGTTGAGTCAAGTGAGGAAGAACCTGAAGCGTGTAGTCACGTTGCAGTTGTAAGAGATAGCCCTTTCCTCGAATACAAGAGAAAAGCCAAGAGAAGCAAAACCGACACAAACTGAAGACAAAACTAGTGAGAATCCTAATTATTAAAATGATTCAACTTAGCTTATGGCTATAATTTTTCTTGGTAATCCTATGCAATATATTATGCCATTTAGGCTTTGTTATGTAGTCAATATCACTTGCTTTATATTTGTGGAAAGACATCTATCTATATAATTATTGTGCATTATGTAGTCATTACGCCTATAGTAGAAAACTTTCCGTTTACAGAAAAACTAGAGCCAAATTGACAAATTTCATTGTTATATTTGAACTCAGAATGTGAAATTCATTAACAAATGGATCCTTTTGTTTCCAAAACTGGCAAAAAATAAAAATTTGTTGAACAGTGAAATCAGTGAAACATTCCTGTGTATATCACCACATTAAATTCAACTGTGCTCAAAAGCCACTCCAACTCGTGCAGCAATGAATAATTACCCTCTGGGTATATCAAAAAGGCATATCACAAGACTGGGATAATCTCTCTCTCTTCAGATTCTGCCCATCTTTTCCTCCAATTTCCTTCAAGGTCCAGATATTAATCTCATATTCCCATATATATTTTCCTTCTTAAATATAGATATCAATCCAACAGATCATATACATATTCTCATCAAGGATTGAAAAAAGCAGCTCCTCAAATCAGAGACAGGATATATGGACAAAGCTAAGGAACAGTATCCTCATGTATCCTCTTCCAAAATGGCCACGATCGCACTTCCGGTTTGACGTCAATGCGTCCGACGTCACGTGTCCCTGATGCGTTTCGTCACTTCCTTTGACTTTTTCAGAAGGGTCTTTTGAATTTGGGATTTTATTTCACTTTCACTGCTGGTGCTGTTGGTAGATATGACAGATAGAGAGGGTGAATCTCCCTAAGGGGGGCACAGACAGCAATAAAAACCTGACAGGTGTTGTAATTCCTCTCCATCTCCACTCTATCCAAAACAAAAAAAAAATTGCCTTTAGTTATACTTTAACCGTAGTATATCCCTTTTGATCAGCGGTGGCCTCTCAGATTGTACAACTCAATGACAGCCTGAAAGGACCCAGGATGCAATTTGTCTGCGTTCAGAGTAGGACATCTGGCAGATACATGCTTTCAGCTGCTGAGAGCAACAGCTCCTTTCAGCCTGTCATTGAGTTGCACAGGTTGAGTGACCATGGCTAATCAGAACACCAAGGATTCCAACCGCAGGTATCTACTGTATATTTACAGCACCAAGACTGATTTAGGATGAGGGAATGAGGCCAAGTTTTGTTAAAGTATAACTAGAGGCAATTTAAAAAAAAAATTTTTTTGATAGAGTGGAGAAGGATTAGAACACCTGTCAGGTTTTTATTTCTGTCTGTGCCCCTGTTAGGAAGATTCACCCTCTCTATTTGCCATATTTACTTTTATAACTGGAGGTGAAAGTGAGATAAAATCCCCAAAAATGGGTTGTTCCCAGAACAAAAAAAGAGGGAAATATTTTGATGGGGACACTAGCTCTGGTGATCCTGGTGACAATCAGGGATAGTCTCACTTTAGAGGGATTTTACCTCACTTCCTGTTTTGGTGATTGGAGAGGAAGTAAAGGGATTTCTCCCCAATAGGACACAGATGGGGAAAAAAACCTTACATGGTTTATAACCATCCCTTTCTCTATCCAAACTGAAAAAAAAAAAGTTTTCCCTTTAGTTCCTAACAACTTGCTCTTTGAAAGATTTACCCCCTCCGCCTTCATTAGCAGGCCATTCTTTGCTATATGGCGCTGCTCTACTTTAACTTACAATTGCACGGTCATGCAACACTATACAAAAATGAAATCTATATCATTTTTTTCACATAAATAGAGCTTTCTTTTGGTAGTATTTGGTTTCACCACTGTTTTTTTTTATTTTTGCACTATAAACGATTAAAGACAGAAAATTATGAAAAAAAACAATATTTTTTACTTTTTGCTATAATACATATCCCATAAAAAATAAAAAATAATCTTCATAAATTTAGGCCAAAATTTATTCTCCTTCATGTCTTTGGTAAAAAAAAAAATCCCAATAAGTGTATATTAATTGATTTGCATGAAAATGATAGCATCTACAGATGACAGTAAATATACTGTAGTTTTTTTTACTAGTAATGGAGGTAATCAGCGACTTATAGCGGGACTGTGATAGTCTGTCGGGCATTCTGACACTGGCTAACTGATACTGACATGACCAGTGACACCAATACAGTGATCAGTGCTAATAAAATGCACTGACAGTGTACTAATGACACTGGGCAGGAGGGGGTTAACATCTGGGGCAATCAAAGAGTTAACTGTGTGCCTAATTATATGTGATGTGTGTACTGTGTGCTGTTTTACTAGGGGATGTGACAGTTTTTGCCTCCCTGCTTTGGAGGGAGACACAAACTGGCATATCCTCACTGTCAGTAGAGAGATCTGTGTTTTTTACCAACAAAGATCTCTCATCTGTCACAAGCTCCAACAATTGGTGAGTCCAGGCCATGAATCATCATCTGGGACCCGCTGATCGGCTTGTCAGGGAGCCAATGACAGCGTGGGTACCCGCTGGATTTCCTCTACCTGGAAAAGCAAAATCATGTGCATATATACATGCTTTTGAACAACTGGCCCGCACTGTGGCAGTATAGCTACAGTGCGCAGTCGGCAAGTGGTTAAATAATATGTAAACACGTCATTTCAAATGTTTTTCCTGTCATTTCTATTTTACACTGAATGGGTTGTTTTACAAGGTGAGGGTTTACATATACTTTAAGTTTAGCTGCACGCGTTATAATGTTTTTGGTGCTAAAGTCCTGCACTGAGAACAACTGCTCCTGAAAACCAGCGTAGTGCCTGCCAGGAGGGTGGGAGATCTCCCACTCCAGAATGATAGACAACAGTAAAGACTTCAAGGATATAAAATGTCCTCACTCCACTGAATACCTTTTCCAAAGTGTTGGTAATTATGCAGACCTTGTGCCATGACAGCCTTGTAGCTACATGGGAAGCTTAAGGTTAAAACTTCAGTGAGCACAATCAAAAGAAATGTGGTCAATTCCTTTAAATTCAGCTGGTGCATCGGCCTGCCAGCTAACTCAGTAGGTTCCCCTAAGTATAATAAATTAGCTCCAGTAACGCAGCACTTATAGGTGACATGAACTAGATGGGAGGAAGTTGGTAAGATTCCAGTTTTCATAATTTGTTTTCATTTACTGTGTGAGGTTAAAATTTCTAACCTTATTCATAAGCTCACTTAGTATATAAATGGATGAGGTCATCAGTTCATTGTAAATTGGAGGAAAACGCAGGTCAGGACCGCGCTTTGGCCCCGTTCCACAGGATTATGTGCACATGAAGGAAACAGAATAGTGTTCATTTCAGACGCTTATGCTCATAGGTTGTGCTCCTTTCCACTCAGGGCCCTTTCAGACATTATGTTCTGCAGAAAGACTAATTAGTAGTTAATGACTCAAAGGATTAAAATGTGTAAGATTTATTAACCATGAACACTTCTTAAAAGGTGTCTTTAAATATCACAGCTGGGATTTTATTCTATTATAAAGGAAACAAGGAATAAAATGTTAAATTCTATATATGTTATGGAGAATGCAGACTTAGACCACAGAAGGGTTTTTCTTGAGCATTAATAGAGGTGGAGGTAGAATATTCCAAACCATTAGGAAATTTGAGAAATTGTATTTTGCACTTGTACTGTAGCTAAGCACAAGGGACCATGGGCGATTATAATTTTACAATAATCACTAACAAAAAGTATTGAAGCCAGGGAAGGACTGGGAACTTTTGACTTGGGAGAGAAGGGGGCACAACCAAATGGCCTTCTCATGGAAGGGACAGAAAGCAGTCCATGGCTATGGTGCTGCATTATAACATGGTTTGATGGGACCTTTTCACATCTTTCAGCATCAGCTTCCTTTGCAACTCTCGGCATTCAGTCTCATGACATCTCAGAGATGCAAAGGATGTTGTTGCTGGAAGAACTCCGTCTTCTAGATTCAACATGGAGCATGTGGTTATATAATGTCAAACATGCATCACTGGCTTGGTCCTGCTCTGATCAATGTCAGAATGGTAAAGTGCCTTCCATCAGGGCCACCAGCCCAACATACACTATATTGCCAAAAGTATTGGGACACCCCTCCAAATCATTGGATTCTGGTGTTCCAGTCACCTCCATGGCCACAAGTGTATAAAGACAAGCACCTAGGCATGCAGACTGCTTCTACAAACATTTGTGAAAGAATGGGTTGCTATCAGGAGCTCAGTAAATTCAAGCGTTGCCTCCTGTGCAATAAGCCCATCTGTGAAATTTCCTTGCTACTAAGTATTCCATGGTCAACTGTTAGTGGTATTATAACAAAGTGGAAGCAACTGGGAACACCAGCAAGCCACGTAAAATGACATAGCGGGGTCATTGCATGCTGAAGTGCACAGTGCTCAGAAGTCATCAACTGTCTGTAGAGTAAATAGCTAAAGACCTTCAAACTTCATGTGGCCTTCAAATTAGCACAACAACAGTGCATAGAGAGCTTCATGGAATGGGTTTTAATGGCCGAGCAGCTGCATCCAAGCCTTACATCACCAAGTGCAAAGCAAAGTCGGATGCAGTGGTGCAAAGCACGTCGCCACTGGACTCTAGACCAGTGGAGATGTGTTCTCTGGAGTGATGAATCACACTTCTCTGTCTGGAAATCTGATGGATGTGTCTGGGTTTGACGGTTTCCAGGAGTACGGTACTTACCTGACTGCATTGTGCCAAGTGTAAAGTTTGCTGGAGGGGGGATTACGGTGTGGGGTTGTTCTTTGGGGGTTGGGCTTGGCCCCTTAGTTCCAGTGAAAGGAACTCTTAAGGCGTCAGCATACCAAGACATTTTGGACAATTTCATGATCCCAACTTTGTGGGAACAGTTTGGGGATGGCCCCTTCCTATTCCAACATGACTGCATACCAGTGCACAAAGCAAGGTCCATAAAGACATAGATAAGCGAGTTTGGGGTGGAGGAACTTGACTAGCCTCCATAGAGTCCTGACCTCAACCCAATAGAACACCTTTGGGATGAATTAGAGCGGAGACTGCGAGCCAAGCCTTCTTGTCTGACATCAGTGCCTGACCTCACAAATGCGCTTCTGGAAGAATGATCAAACATTCCCATAGACACACTCCTAAACCTTGCCAACAGCCTTCCCAGAAGAGTTGAAGTTGTTATAGCTGCAAAGGGTGAGCCAACTCAATATTGAATCCTACGGACTAAAACTGGGATGCCATCAAAGTTCATGTGCGTGGAAAGGCAGGTGTCCCCCAATACCTTTGGCAATATAGTGTCTCTTGTTAGCATTGGCCCAGGGGGCTAATGCCCCTTAGCCCAGTCCTGCGATACTTGAGGTCCAACTCCAACTCTTTATTTTGTTATGGATACAGCAGGGAAAGGTTGGTGCCTCTGTCAAAATTTTATTGCCATCTGTGTCCCTGCTGAGGAGATTTCCTCTCACATTTTGTCAAGACAGGAAGTGATGGGAAAGTTCTACAATGAGCAACCAGACAAAAACAAAAAACACATTTCTAATGGAGTGAGGAAGGGCCAGGTGCATTGTTATAAAGAGGGAACATCAAGTGAATCCTGAAGAAGCTCTTTTGGGCGAAACACGTCAGTCCTCCTTTATGTCCATTTCATTATACATTCTTCATGTTGCATTTGCAGCAGATGATATAGAAAAAATATTATCTGTGTATTTTAATCGGATAAAAAGATGAAAATGTGTATTTAATGATGTTCTTTTTAGCTTTGAGTTATACTTAGGTGCGCTAAAATCCCCATGTGATTATGATCCACTCTTAGACATAGCGAGAACTTTTGTGTTTCTCCTATTCGATACTATAGAGGATAGTGCCATTGTAAACAGATCATAGGGTCCCCCCATTTACCACATGAGGAAGGGTTGGAACATCTGAAAATGTTTTTTTATTGCTATCTGCTCCTTCCTTCCTGGTGACACTTTCTTATTCTGATGTCACAGCAATAGAAAATAAGGGGAAATCGCTACCTCAACATATCTTGTTAGCATTGGCGCAGGGGGAAAATTCCCCTTAGCCCAGTTCTCTGATACTTGAAGACCAACTCCATTTGTGTTCTGGTGTCATAGCAACAAGGAAGATCTCTCCAACAGTGTTGTAAACCTGCTGCAGATTTAACTCTTACCAGTCAATATGGTGCTAGACACAAGACTGAGCCCTTCTTGTTTTACTGGAAACGACACAAACACAAAGACAGGAAATGAGCACATAACCACATGGTTCCATTCAGATGAACATTGCACTATACAAGAATTAAAACATAATACTCATTATCAGCTAGTGGCAGAAACACTAATTACAATATGATAAATGGGAATGGTTGTTGCACCTATGTCTGTATAGCACCTTCCTAGTGAGCTAGAGGGAGCTATCTGACTAGAGGGAGCTATCTGAGCTATCTATTTTTTAGTTAGAACGGCTGAGTAGCAGCTTGGGCAATAGTCAACTGGGTCAAATATGGGTGAAGCCTGAGAGGCTCTTCAGAAAAGTTCCTTGATACCTCCCCCTGCTCTAGAATCTTGGAAAAGGTTCTAGAAGCAGTGAGTGGGGGTGAGGAGGAGCTGGTCTGCACTCTTTGAGGATCCTGGCTAATCCCCAAGCAGGAGGCTTGGTGTGGGGGTCAGAATAGCCCTTAAAACTGATTGAGCCTGGTCAGAAGTAGGAGAGTTCTGGTGGAAGATGTGAGGAAGCTGAAATGCAGGAGCCTGGGAGGGGGCCCAGTTGGAAGAGGCCTACCTTCAAGCAGGGTGCTGAAAAATGAGGGTTGCTCAGCCTCACCAGCCCCCAGAGCGAGGACCACCTGTAGAGCCAGGAAAGGAGCCAACCCAGTGGAAGGCCTGAAGGCAGACACCTACCTAATTCTGCTCGCAGGACTGAGACTGAGTGAGTAGTCTTACACCCCCTGGGCCATTTAAAGGAAAAAGAGCACTCTGAAGGGAAACTTGATTAGCTCCTTACCCGGGACTAAGGTGTCAGGCACTGGATTCCCTTTCCCAGGGATTCCCTCAGGCAGCTAATTAAGAAGAGGAATGCCTGGGGTCTGGGGTGGTACACCAGGAGAGGATGAAGAGCTCTCCAGGAAGAGTTTCTGCTGTGTAAAGACTTGTACATAGTTGCTAAGGAGTTTATCCTCGCTTTACAGTTCCTTTGGGCATCCCATACACCCCTTACCCCATCCAAGTTTATCACCCCTTAATAAAACATAAAACCAAGCTTAAAGACTGTTTACTGACTCTGAATGCAAGTCTGTGGAAATGCGTGTTGCCTGGCTGTGCAGGACTTTGGGGGGACTCAAATCTTCAGCAACTCCTATGGGGGTAGTGCTACATCTGTATAAACAACACGCCAATAGGGTCATACACTTCTCATGTGGCACTAGGCTAGTATTTAAAGTGGTTGTAAACCCACACATATACCTAGTGAAGTGACTGGCCCCAGATGATATACAGAGATGAAACAAATCCTCCTACATAAGTTGTACCTGTTTAACTGCAATCTTCTCTTTTCTACAGCCATTCAAAATGCTGAGTTTTTAAAGCTTGTCTGAGAGTGCAGAAAAAGGGGGCGATGAGCTATAATGACACACTGCAGAACTCAGCGAGGGGATCTCTGAGAGCTGATTGGAGGGAATAAACACCCCCCCCCCTCCAAACAGCTCACGGGAACAGAGCTGAATCTGCCCCCCACCCAGCCACCAAGGCCTCCTCACTGCGGGTGGGGTGCGAGGAGCTGCAGTTCGGGAACCGAGGGGCGGGAGCTGCCCAAGTCATCATGTCAACAAGTGGGCCAGCCCCACCTCGAGCCACAGAAAGCAGACATCCGCACACACCGACAAGCCAAGCAATCACCAGCTCCCACCCCCCAGTCCAGACCAGCAGCACCCCACACCTGCCCACCGCGAGGATGACACCAGTGGCCAGGCGGGAGGCCCGGATGAGGACACCCAGCAGCAGCGGCATGGCCGAGGTCTGGACAGCGCCCCCCACACCTAGCCCACCTTGAGGATGACACTGGCAGTCGGGCAGGAGGCCCGGAAGAGGACACCCAGCAGACGCACGGCCGAGGTCTAGACAGGACCCCCCACACCTAGCCCTTCTTGAGGACGACACCGGTGGCGGGCTGGAGGCCCAGGAGGGCACACCCCAGAAGGATTAGTGTCTCTGCCCTGCCTAAAGTACCAGGGGATGGCTTGCATTAAAAGGGGCTTTGTGTTGTATTAGGGGCGCTGTGTTGTTATGGGCGGCATGTTGTGCTAGGGGCGCTGTGTTGTTAGGGACGGCATGTTGTGCTAGGGGCGCCGTGTTGTTAGGGGCACTATGCTGCGTTAGGGGCGCTGTGTGGTGTTAGGTGTGCTGTGTGTTTTAGATGGGCTGTGTTATGTTAGAGGCGCTGTATTGTGTTAGGGGCGCTGTTGTGTTAGGAGCGCTATGCTGTGTTAGGGGCGCTGTGTTGTTAGGGGCGCTGTGATATTAGGGGCGCTATGTTGTGTTATGGGCATTGTATTATGTTAGGGTTGCTGTTGTGTTAGGGGTTCTGTTGTGTTAGGGGTGCTGTTGTGTTAGGGGCACTGTGTTGTGTTAGGAGGTGCTGTGGTGTGTTAAGGGGCGCTATGTTGTTAGAGGTGCTGTGTGTTTTAGGGGCGCTGTGTTGTGTTAAGGGGTGCTGTGTTGTGTTAGGGGCGTTGTGTTGTGTTAGGGGCATTGTGTTGTGTTAGGGGCATTGTGTTGTGTTAGGGGCATTGTGTTGTGTAGAGGTGCTGTGTTTATGTTAGGGGCATTGTGTTGTGTTAAGGGATGCTGTGTTGTGTTGGGGCATTGTGTTTGTGTTGTGTTAGGGGTGCTGTGTTGTGTTAGGGGTGCTGTGTTGTGTTATGTTAAGGGATGCTGTGTTGTGTTAGGGGTGCTGTGTTGTGTGTTAGGGGTGTTGTGTTAAGGGATGCTGTGTTGTGTTAGGGGTGCTGTGTTGTGTTAGGGGTGTTGTGTTAAGGGATGCTGTGTTGTGTTAGGGGTGTTGTGTGTTAAGGGATGCTGTGTTGTGTTTGGGGTGTTGTTGTTAGGGGCATTGTGTTGTGTTTAGGGGCATTGTGTTATGTTAAGGGGTGCTGTGTTGTGTTGGGGCATTGTGTTGTGTTGTGTTAGGGGTGCTGTGTTGTGTTAGGGGTGCTGTGTTGTGTTATGTGTTAAGGGATGCTGTGTTGTGTTAGGGGTCCTGTGTTGTGTTAGGGGTGTTGTGTTAAGGGATGCTGTGTTGTGTTAGGGGTGTTGTTGTGTTAAGGGGATTCTGTGTTGTGTTAGGGGCATTGTGTTGTGTTTAGGGGCATTGTGTTGTGTAGAGGGTGCTGTGTTGTGTTAGGGGCATTGTGTTTGTGTTAAGGGATGCTGTGTTGTGTTAAGGGGCGCTGTGTTG